AGCTTCAGTTCGGGGTCACCAACAGATTGCCGAAACATTACTCAGCCATGGAGCTAACGTGAATATACAAAATGGATATGGTAAAACACCACTCCATGAAGCTTCACTTCATGGACACCAACAGATTATCGAAACATTACTCAGCCATGGAGCCGAGGTCAATATACAAAGTGAAGATGGCGATACACCACTCCATGAAGCTTCAGCTTGGAGTCACCCATGGATTGTCGAAATATTACTCAGTCATGGAGCCAATGTGAATATGCAGGATAGGGCCGGCAGAACAACACTCTATCGCGCAGCAGCAGGAGGGCACGATGAAACTGTTAAAATACTGCTTAATCACGGGGCGGATGTCAGCATTACCAAATATGGTAAGCCGGCGCTCTACAAAGCATCAAAGAAGGGGCATCTGAAAGTCGTTGAACTACTGTTTGATCGTGGTGCTGATGTCGATCAAGAAACTAAAGATGGCACAGCACTCCAAATAGCAGCAGAGAATGGACACGAGAAAGTTGTTGAAATACTGCTCAATCATGGAGCCGATATCAACATTACTGAAATGGGCGAACCAGCACTTCTTAAAGCATCAAAGAATGGGCACCTGAAAGTTGTGGACATATTACTCGATCACGGAGCCGATATCAACCATCAATACCATGAAAAAACAGCGTTCATATTGGCAGTGCAAAATTGGCGGCAGAAAGTCGTGGAACTACTGCTTGATCGCGGTGCTCATGTCAATCATGAAACTGTAAATGGCACAGCACTACAGATAGCGGCAGAAAGTGGACACCCCAAAATTGTGGAAATATTACTTGATCATGGCGCCGACCCTAATATCCGAGGCTATTTGCATGACCGCACGGCACTCTATGGAGCTGCAGAAAATGGTCACCAGAGAGTTGTTGAGATAATGCTCAATCATGGGAGCGGCTCTAGGATAGAAGACGATGACGTCCACGCAGCACTTCAGGCAGCGGCAAAAAATAAGCACATGAATATTGTGGAGATGCTAAAGAAGCATACAATGCCTGATGCAAAAGACAGTTCTGTCGCGGGTGAATCTTGAGTGGTTGGAAGAAAATCTTCTACGAACCGAGAGAAGTCTCCTTTCCTCGCCCAATGATCACATGAGACCTTTCAGTTAGAACACCACCCTTAATCGCCAGAAAGTAATAAGAGATGGCCCAGGCATCGCTTCTAAATCGCATCTTCATTCTATGCCTTTGACGAGGCTAGATTTGTCCTCGAGAGCTCGTTTGATATATTTCAAAGCTACGTGCAAAGAGCTAGCTTTTCTATAAGAGTAATAGTTCCGTTATCTCCCAAAAATAGTGATATAAGTCAGTGATAGTCTGTTGTTAGGGCAGGGATATTTGAGGCACTAACACAAACGAACGAAATCCGCAGTATTACCATGTGAACCTGTTTAACGAGTTCAATAAAGTAAATATGACCTTGCAAATTTATATCTTCGTCCGGAGGTCTCACGCACCGCTGCTTGTATTTGTCACGCCTTCACAGAGATATGACACCGCATAGCAGGCGTCGTTGATATGTACGTGTTTAGCAATACTTCTACTATGATAATTCTCTATACCGGAATGACACAGATGCATAAATCCCACCGTTGCTGTTTCTAATGGAGGACCAGAGGCTTTTGGAAGAAGGCAGGAAGGCCGTCGGAGCAGCATACCTTTTCTGGCAAAGCGGCAAGCAGGGCATGATTGTCGCTGGTGGCAGTAATTTCCTCTTTTGAAACGCTTTCTGTTAAACGGACTTCCTGATATACCAGCCAGGTAACCTGCCACATATTTCTTGCTTGTCTTCTTGACTCCCGGAATTAGTACCATTCAATCCTTTGTGGAGACGAGAAATACCGGCGCAACGATGTTTACAACTGGAGAGATCTGCCCGCCTAATTGTTCCTTGATTTGCATATCTTCTTTTGTATCCGCTATTTAATCACCTGTCTAAGTACAGTGCCCTTACTACTCAAGCATATCTCAATATCAGTTGTCAAACTTTGTGGATACACATGATCTAGATGGCAAAGCCCTCGCAGATTAGGGCGATAACGCCACTCTCATTGAAACTTCTAACTCGCGCCAGCGTTGTGGCTCAAGCAACATTAAGCCCCATCCCGGTATAAGCAGAATGTCTTTTACTAGGATGGTCTAGAACGCTGGAATAATCAAGGCCTTCAACTCGCTATGAGAGGAATGCATGGAAGCATTCTCAAGGGCACCGTTGAAGCTGCTCAGATACCTCAGTGTGCTTCCAACTCAGGAGCAAATGATGTCTAAACATTCAGTCCCCGTGCATTTACCTAGCGACTATTATTCCTCGGCATTCAAAGCTTCCTTTCTATAATTGTTGCGTATTGTAAATCGAGCTTTTGGCAGCAGGGGAAGTTTACGGGATGAAAACAGTTGGGTTTAGTTCAAGTTCGCCCATTTCACTGATATTTGCCAGCTTGACAGAAGCACCATGACAGGTACATCTGTCTCGACCATGATTTCGGGATGATATATATACCAAATCAGAGCGTCCACGTTGTGAAGTACAATTGATGCCGATATGTACTCCGTAAGCATCGGTAATCCGAGCCCCACCGGGACGGGTTACCTATTTAGTCGACGGACTGGAAACACTTGTATGCTGTTTTCCCCCACACAACAGCTCTGCCCCGGACAAATGCTGTATCAAGATGGAAAATGGCAAATTTGCAACACTCTTTATTACATTCAGTAGCATGGTTAAACTCCACATCTTACTATGTGGTATTGACCCCTCCTCGTGATACTCATCCTCCCACTCTTCATATTTCTTTATAAACTTGGGGCCACTCCCCCAGCTCGCCTCACTGCCAATACAGCCTCCAACCCAAACACTGTATAATATGGATCCTCAACGGCCAATACCCGAACGGTACAAAGCCGGAGTGGTTTCCAACAATGGCCCTGACTACCAACTGACAGTTGTAGATGTCCCTGTGCCACGACCAGGTAAGTAAGCCCTTCCATCTTGCAGGCATATGTACCAATCAAAGTTGCTGACATTTTACTCTCTCGGGTCCTGGCCAACTCCCGATTAAACTCAATGTGACTGGACTATGCTACAGTGTCATTCATTATATGTTGGAAGATCTCCCCCTCCGGCGAATGCGCGATTACGGCGTTCGATCTCCAGGTCACGAGGGTGCAGGCATCGTAGTCGCTCTTGGTAGTGCCGTGACTGGGTGGAAGGTGGGGGATCGAGCTGGAATTGCCCCCACTTGGGATACTTGTATGAGCTGCGAGTTGTGCTCTTCTGATCTGGAATGTCATTGTGCGCGTGCTATGCCGACTGGATTGATGGTTTCTGGTAGGAGCCCGAGAAAAATAAATAGAAAGAAAGACAGAAATAATTAAAGAAGTTTGTACCTTCTCTGTCTAACCCTGCAGCTAGGCACATACCAACAATATATCGTGAGCCCAGCACGATACACAACCCGCATTCCGCATGGCGTTGACGATTTCTCCGCCGGGCCCATCATGTGCAGCGGATCAACCATGTTCAGAGCAGTACACACCCCTTACCTGACTCCCTTCGCTGAATAACACGAAGCTTGCTAATACCACATCCTACTCCATTATTAGCTCCGAGAGTCGAATCTATGTGCCGGCCAATGGGCAGTGATAATGGGAGCCGGCGGCAGGGTAGGACATATGGGGGTGCAAATAGCGAAGGCAATGGGTCTGAGGGTCATTGGCATCGACGCTGGTGAAGATAAAGAAGCGTTTTGTCTAAAGTTCGGCTACGAAGCCTTTATTGACCACCAGAAATCTACCAATCTGAGCCAGGATGTACGCAATATAACCGATGGAAAAGGTACACACGGTGTGCTCGTGACCGCATCGTCTGCTGCTGCATACCGTGTGGCGCCTCGTATGCTTCGTGTGGGCGGAGTGGTCGTTTGTGTTGGTATGCCTGCATCTGGCACGGCATTTGCAGGGGACGATCCTATGTATCTGATCCTGAATAACTTGAAAGTCGTGGGCTCTCTGACGGGATCGCGTCAGGATACGGCTGGAGCTTTGTCGCTGGCTGCGCGGGGATTGCTTAAGCCGACGTACGAGTCGTTTAGTATACGGGAATTGCCGAATGCAGTGAGCCAACTAAGGCAAGGGAAGGTTAGAGGGCGCTGTGTGGTGGATTTTAATGTCTGAATCTTATTGCTGGTATAAAAATCCTGTGGCGGTTATTAAATATCTTCCCAGTACTGATTTCTCCTAACCTAGATGTTAACAAAGAAAGTGGTCTTAAAATGGACTGCCCGCAATGTAGAACTCCTGTAAAGGCTATAAAATCTTTCTTGCCTTAGTATAATATTTATATTCTATTCGAAATGCCGTAGATTCATACATGTTTTCGTTACTATTTATGATAGAGGCATATGTGATAAGACAGGAATGACTGGAACGCTGCTAGAACGGAATACTTTCTCAGTAAAACCGGAAGCAGACATGACCTTTTCAAAGAAATATGGCTGATTGTACCATAAATTGCCATGCCTGGTCACGTCTTCAGCCTCGCAAACCACCGCTCCTGGGCAGCTACAGTAATATTCTGATTGGTAGACACAGATAGCAAGGCTGGATTAACAACAAATCAATGCCCAACGCCTTCGACTGCTATTCTCATTCAATTGGCTATCATGAAATCTTATTCATCCAGATCAGTAAAGGCTCCGCAACCTACATGATCGGACTTAAGTAGTACGGTGACAAAACAAAATCAACCTTTGGGCATCTGGTGGGATTAAGCGCTGAAAGAAAGCAAGAGTATAACTATCCGTGGCTAGAGATCACTGCAGGCATATCAAGGTGAGCGTAGAGTATTTCCCGGCCGGGGATTTGTGGAAAATGTTGTAGAGAACCCTACCCTCTTTGGGGTCTTCAAGGCTGGATTTTATATTGTCTCTCCTAATAATGAGTCATGGTATACCGCTGTTCATTTTCCCAAAGATTACCTTGAATTAAGCATTGACAAAGCAGATAATGTTTGTCGACAACAGTGGGATTGCATACTTCTGGGATATCCTTCTGATATCTCTTTTGTTATCCTGCTTCACCATAACTGGGTACACAATGGCTGTGATGGTGTGGGGTGGAAAATTTCTGGTTTGATGAATGGAACGATATCTGCGATCTTGAGGTGCGCTGTGTGCGTCTTTATTGACATCAGATAATTATATATTCTTTATAGCTACGTATGACCTTCGTGTCTTTTATTTTTTTTTTTTCTTTTTTGTGTCTGCCCTCGATACCCGTAGTTGTCCTATATTTTGCTGCCTTGTTAGTTGCCAAGGTTCGTAACTCTGATTTCCGTATAGGCAAATGACAATGGAGGGAGCCGAATCCAAACCTGCGACCATGGTGTACACAAAAAAAAGTAAGATGATGTTCTATTTTCGAACGTCCTGCCCGCCGGCTTCAGGGGTTTTCATTCATTGCCTGGGGTGGGAGGTCAGTTCCTTGTGAGTGTGCTGGAGGTGATCATCTCCAATGTACGCCCACCCTTTATGTATATCAATCTGTTCACGACACTAGCCTCCTTGACTTGCATCCGAAGAAAAGTGTACTGGGAGATGGCGGGCTGGATGAAAGATGCAAGAACGGCTGCTTTCAGTTGGATAATGCGATGTGCATTAGAGTACGACAAAGCGTAATGTTGAGCGAATAACGAGGTTTTTATTCCATATTTAAGTGGAGCTAAAGCCCTACTTATTATACTACCAAAACAAAAGATCGGATACAAAGGGCTGGGAGACAAAGATATCAGGCGCTAGGTTTACATAGGTAGCTTCACAGTATATAACCATGCAGGCACGCGGAGGAGATCACGAACGCCTGCCTTTCTCTAACTCTCTACTTCATATTCCTATTCACGATGCCTCGTTCAGTGCCTCCTGCTTCTCCTTCAGAAGTTGAATCCGGCGACCCTCTCCAAGGCTCACTTACTGGTCTTTCTTTGACGGATGCTCGTGAGACAGGTACGGTCGAAAGGAAACCTAGTGGATTCAATCCCTTTGCACCTTCCTCAGCCACCGACACGGGATCAGTTGACGAACTGACGCGGGATGTGATTCCACAGCAGCTTGCCAGACTCCAGCAGCCGCGGGAATTCGTACTCCGCGCGACCGACGATCTCTACATCCAAGGGCAGCAATTTAAGGAGAAATGGAAAGTTTCGGAGAACAGCTTCCTCAATTGGAAAGCATTATTGTCAGGATGGAGGGAATTTCCCGCCATTTTGTTGCTGAACCCGAGTCCGTTTGACGACTTGGTGTTTCACCGGATGGTGGACAAGTCGCCAACACTTTCCTGGTTGGAGGAGACGCTGGGGAAGGTGGAGCTTCAACTTGAGGATGTGATCATCATTGACACGTTCCCGATGCTCCGGGATACTCTCCGGGACGATATTTTGAGCCAGCTAGGGCCGGCGGGGCGGGACGAGCTGGTGCGGGAGTCGTTTGCGCTTACAAGGGCGAGCCTGGCGTTGATTCGACCGCGGGTGCTGATCTCGTGTCAGTGTAGCACCAGGCCGGACAATGAGCGGTGGGGATTGTTTAAAGATGATGAGCTTGTTCAGCAACTCTGCTCATCCGTGCTGAGGGCACAATCGAGGCGGGTGCGGGAGTTAGATGTGGATGGGCATCGGATGTCGGTAGTACAAGGGATGCATCCGCAGTACGTGGTGCAGTATGAGCCGGCTCTGGAAGGGATCCTAGTGGAACTGTTCACGCAGGTGTTTCGACCATTTGGGGAGTGGCAGTCGCGGCGGGTGGCGATGAAGCAGGCGCTTGGCGATGCGGGAGTGGTACTGCTGGGACTGTTGGGACTGCTGCAGCGGCAGATACGGATCTATGGGCATCTATTTAAACAGGGAGGTGGCGAATTGGAGGGCCCAGTGGCAGCTGGACATGTGGAGGAACTTGGAAAGCAACTGGCCGAGTGGCGGGAATGATATTGAGACAAGGGAAGGTTCGAGGAAGCTGTCTTGTGGATTGTATTGGCTGATTTTGATGCTTGGCTTAAGAACCCTATGTTTATAAATGGTAGTAATTGGTATTTCCCCATACTAGTGGCTACTTTCTGCACACCTGCAGAAGTGTGGTCAGCTTTGAATTTTGAGCTAACTCGATCTCTGATGTCCTAGTTATGATAATGGAAAATATGTAGCGGTTCCCTGATGTTATGAAACAAGGACACGGTTTAGATAATGAAGCCGGCTTTCGCCATCATCATCACTAGATTCTTACTCACAGCATGCAGTAGGCTCGAAAAAGCAGTAGCGCAATGCGTCATTCTATGCTTTTCGAATCATATATTCCTTAACTTCTACATGAACAATCTCTAAACCATGCAAGAAGCATGTCCACCCGCCCTGGCTTGTCAGGTCAAGGCATGCAGGACACATCTGATTTGCCATAGTAGCAACATGATTATGGATAGAAATTCTGACATAACTGTATTATAATTAAGAACGCATAGTAACAGCGTTCTATACCGGTAAGTATTGATGAGGTTGTGACAGAGCGCCACCGTGAGCGCCATCCGCCGTCTACGTCGAGGGCGCAGCGGCGCACGAAAACAAGAACATGGGAACCCTAACAAAGACCCTACGTCATTAAGCCACGCCAGTCATTATAAACTGGGACATGTTGAGATTGTACTGTGGTCAAAAATGTATCTTCTTAGTCTCCATTCCTAGACCTTCATCAATAGAAAACAGCAACACAGAAAAAGGATCCATGGGCACATCCACTAACCGTGATAAAGGTGGACATTTCATGCCCATCACGCACATATACGACCCTGTACTGGACATTGAAACCTCCTTCGATCCAGATGTGTTTTCATTTCTTCAAGACTCGGACGAAGGTCTTGGTGGGCCAGGATGCTATTCGAACTCCATTGTCTTGTACCCCTCCGAGTTGTCGATATCCTGGCCTAGCTACTTGCCCTGCTGTAGACAGAGCAAGCACTGGAAAATAGCAGAAAGCATGACCAAGGAACTGCTGGACGCTATATACGAGGATTCGGGTCGAGTGGCTCGAGATAATGGAGTAATGCCTCCGGAGCTTCAAGACGCATCATCGGATGTTAGGAGGAAGGAGGTAGAGATTATGGCGACATCAGTGAAGTCGACGGCGTATATGTATCCGAATGCGAGTCCGGTACGTGCGGGCATGTTAAGTCAGTCTATGTTGCTTGTGTTTCTGCATGATGGTGAGTGACACGGTCATATCTTCCCCAGATTGTGCATTTGATTCTAATATTCTCCTGTATAGATGTTGTGGAAAGCTCTCCGTTGGACGCTGTAAGTCGGCTCATCGTGTTTGATTGCAGCTTATATTCAGGTTAGTCTTAAGGGATCCACAATCACCGACGCCATTTTCGCCCCATATGGCACCGCACAGAAGCGTTGCGAGGCTTTGCGGAGCTACTTGGCAGCAATCGTTGAGGAAGACCCGAGCCTGGGGAAGAGGCTCCTCTCCAGCGTACTCACCTGGCTCAATCATACTAAGGGGTATCGGTCGATCGCGCTGACGGTCTTTGAGTCGCTGAGAAATTATCTAGATTTTCGATCGGATGATATTGCTCAGGAGTACGTAACCCAGAAAAAGGTATACTCCCGACAGAGGATAGGAAGTTACAGTTAACCTCCACCAGATTTATCTTAACTCAAACTATGTTTGCTTGCAACATCCACCTTTCCGAAACCGAGATACAAGTATTCAGCAAGTTGATCCGGATATATGTGACTCACATCTCTCTTACGAATGATCTTTACTCCTTCCGAAGGGAAAATGAAGAGTACGAGCGAACCGGCGCACTGCTAATCAACGCGGTCGACGTCATACGCAAGGAATACCAGGTCTCTCTGGTGACGGCGAAGCAGTTTGCCCGGGGATTTATCTTGGACACGGAGTGTGAGTTCTCCGGGGAGTTCAAAATGCTAATATCGTCGGGCCTTCTGAATGATGGTCAGATCCGGTTTGCGAAGGCGCTGGCTGAATGCCTTGCCGGACAGATCTTTTACTCGATCACTTCTGATCGATATGGAGGGGGAAAGGCTGCGAGGGTGATTTCTGCGTGAGCTGCATGCTCACTGTTCTATGTTCTGGGTGTAATGTGAGGGCTAGTATATTACAGTCACGATGCAATTTCGATATTCATCAAACTATGTGGAAATTGGAGAGATAGGGTTGAACCGCTGGGGCACGGATGAAAGATTTGCAGCTGGTCTAGAATTGATAAAGGTGTTATAGACCGTTGTCATCAAAGTGTTTAAATAGTATGAGAGCTATATACTCGGATGTTCATCCTGGTCTACGTTCCACTAGCCAGTTCATTGCCCCAGCTTGTCCAATATGAACGCAGAGCTACGCCTTAACCCAGATTGACTTCTGGGAGGCGAAGTTTAACGAATAGCCGGAGCATCATAATGAACTCAATTCCATCAATCTACGCATGACGTCAGTTCCGTTCCGGCATAAATACATCGCAGACTCCTGCCGACAAGCAAAAGGACAAATAGCCAGCATCATTAAAGAATAGCACGACCCCCTAGAACAATAATCATAATGGTCAAAGACAAGAGCACCGTCATTGAGTACACTGCCCTTGCGTATCAGTCCTAATCCAAACTAACTGACCACTAGGGAATTCAACGACCTGGTCAATATGACCCCTAATGAACTCCGCGACTGGCTCAAAGAAGAGCAGTCGCAGTCGTCCGGATGGAGTGGTGAGTCTGGAGAGACAATTGGACATGAAAGGTCTCCTCTACTCGCGTCTCCTTTATCTACAAGTATGGGATGAAAAGCTAACGAAGTATAGCGGTCGCAAGATCGTCGACATCCTGGAGCATAACCCGTCCAAGGATCCAGAGGGATACTCCGACCAGGACATCAATCACATGCGACGGGTCGTGTCGTATTGTAAGCGGCATCTGGCGCAGGAGGAGAAAGCCAAGCAGGATCCGAACAGCAAGAGTCATCGGTCGTTGAAGAACTGGGGACATGATCCGTTTAAGTCTTGATTCTAGACGTGTATACATGTAACACGCAGTGCTATGTATGTATTTCATCTATGTACAAGAATTGGTCCGTCTGTAGTCGTTGCCACATTACTATATTCTACACTTTGTTGATAGACTCGTCTTCCTCCCTCCAATGATACCGATGCCTTCCCTCAATAGACCCGTATTCTGGCAATGACTCGACATACGATTGCCAAGGCCGGAAGATTATAGACGGCAATGGCAATTGTATTCTCTCTCGGCATGTGTTTTGTGAGCTCAAGATCCGGTGGCGGTTCACCGAAGGTACTTGTCACTTTCACGCTTCCGCGGCCTACACAGCCATGATCGCGGCTAAACCGAGCTCTAAAGGTAGCACCAGCGGGGACACGGCCGGGGAATCGCTAAGTAATAACAGTGTTCTCTAGACTACTATCGACGAGGTGCATACGGTCGCCAGGCACGCTTTACATATTTGGACTGGTTTGCATGCAGATCCTGCACGATAATGGTCCCTCCTGCAGCTGCAGGGAATAGAGAACACGTAGTGTTGCCTATTATATGATCATCTCGGTACGGCGGAAGCGAGTTCCTGTAGCTCCACTCGACGATGCTCGTTAGCAGCCGTTAGAGCCATGGGGGCCAATCCTTCTTAAGAACGATTGGCCTCCGCCGTCGCAGCTACTGCACGTCGGAACGAATTCTGTCACTCCACACCTCCTCCGTCTTTTGTCGAGCAGACCAATGCTACGCTGCATGGATACAGGTGTCGATATCAAAAAGTGGAGTCTTCGGGAACTGGAACAATTGCTTTGCAGGTATGGCCTGAGCAGTCTCGCGACGCATAGACACTATTATGAGCTTCATAACAATCAGTTTAGCATTTAATCTTGCCTCAAATTCATTTGTTTACTCTTATTCTTGGTTTCATATTGATTACTTGCTCGTAGTTTGACAACGCACAAATGTAACGTAACCCCCTAACCCACGTAACCAAACACGGATTGAGCCGGGTAGATCAAAGATCAGCAATACCCTAAGGTTCTAACACTAGCACTAGCAAACCGGGGCCAACTCTGGCATCACCTGTCAGTCCCGAGTCATGTCATAGCCTCACGGCTTTCTACTCGTCAAGCCCTGGTCCCATCCCTCTATATAATGGAGCCGATACCCCTGACCCCAGATACACTACCTGGTCCTCCTCCCTACCTGTAGTTCTCCCCATCGCTTAATAATTCAAAATGCCGTCAAACGAGGCCTCCGTATCCAACGGCGAAGCCCAGAATGACTGGAAATTCGACCCCTCCGTCTTTGCCTTCACACCAAGAAAGCTGCGTGTGGTGTGCATCGGAGCAGGTTTCTCTGGTCTGACCATGGCATATAAGCTCAAGCACGAGAGGCCTCTGGACTTTGTTGATTTCACTATCTACGAGAAGAATCCGGAGGTTGGGGGCACGTGGTTTGAGAATATCTATCCGGGGGTGGCGTGGTGAGTACTCTAACCTGGTCTGCTGTGTATACGGATGACTGTATATATACTGACGATTGTAGTGATATTCCTGTTCGTGAGTTGATAATCAATTTCTAGAAGATCTGGAGTGGAAGGCTGACTCAAAGAAGACAGTTATCAGTTCCCGTTTGCGCCTAATCCTGCGTGGTCGAGCTACTATGCCACTGGGAAGGAGATCCAGGAGTATATTGTCAGCACTGCTGACAAGTACGATCTGAATGAGAAGATCAGGTTCAATACGAAGCTCGTCAAGGCGATTTGGAGCGAGGTACAAGGAAAATGGAAACTTCAATTGCAACAGGGTGAATTCGTTCTAGAAGATGAAGCCGATATCGTATTGGATGGGAGTGGTGTATTGAAGTAAGTCTTCGTCTACTTCTTGTGCGAAGATAATCTAACGATGACAGTCAGTGGAAATGGCCCAATATCGAGGGGCTGGATACCTTTACAGGAAAGCTGCTTCATACTGCTCGGTGGTGGGCTCAATCTACCCATATAGTAGCATGAACAGTAGCTCACATCAACAGGGACCCAGAATACAACTGCGAGGGAAAGAAAATCGCAGTCATCGGCAACGGCTCATCGGGAATTCAGATAATTCCTTCTCTTCAACCCAAGGCCGCAAAGCTAGTGAATTACATCCGACATGCTACTTGGATTTCCCCAAACCTCTGTGGCCAATTAACGAGGGACGGGATGGGTACAAACTTCCAATTCACAGAAGAGGAAAAGCAGCAATTCCAGGACGATCCTGAAAAGCTTCTGGAGTATAGAAAATCTATTGAGGGGGCGTATGTTTCCCTTCGCCGTGCTAACTTGACATGTGGCTGACATGAGATCGACTGCAGCGTCAATAGCGTGTATGCCTGGATGATCTCGGGATCTGAGGAGAACAAGGCGCTTTACGAGCTGGTACATGGGGTAATGCGAAGCCGCCTGGCCAACAGCCCTGAGCTGGCCAAGACACTGATCCCCACGTACGAGATTGGATGTCGACGTATTAGCCCCGGCGATGGTTATCTGGAGGCTATCCAGGAGGATAACGCCAGGATCACTTTGAGTCAGATCAATCGCATTACACCGAACGGAATCGAGACAGACGAAGGAGAAGAAGAATTCGACTTGATCGTCTGCGCGACTGGCTTCAATTACTCATTCATTCCCGCCTGGGAGCTGATCGGCCGTGACGGTCGCCGCCTTGATGAGGAATGGAAGGAGACTCCAGAAGCATACTTTGCGACATGCGCTGGTGGAGTTCCTAACTATTTTATGTTTGGTGGACCGAACTACCCCATTGGCCATGGCTCCTTGCCTGCGGCACTCACCTTCTCCGCTGACTATATGTTGGAATGGATCAAGAAGATTGCGACGGAGGATATCAAGTACGTTTATCTCTTCCTTTCTATCGAGTCCTTGTCAGAGTTAACGTCCTCCAGATCGGTCGTAGTGAAAGACTCCGTCGTCCGTGCTTATAACAAATTCGCTCAAGAAACCCTGAAGCACTGTGTCTGGTCCAAGGGCTGTCACGCCTGGTACAGTAAGAGGAACGAAGGAGCTGACAACACTGTCATTGCAATGTATCCAGGAAGTGCACTTCATTTCAAAGGTATGCCAGCTGTTCCAACACCTATCGATACCGCTAACGGTCTATGTAGCCTGTTTGGAAAAGATCCGCCCCGAGGACTTTGAAATCCAATATAATACCTCCAATCCCTTCAGATTCATGGGTAATGGACAAATGGCGTTTGAGCGAGTCCCTGGCGCTGATCTGGCTTTCTATTTGAAGTAGTCCAGGCAGCCTGTTGTGGCCGGCATGAAATATCATGATACGAGATGGATGCTTCGCTAGTGATGTACTGATATGGGTCTATAGCATGATAGATATGATATGTTCTTCTAGATTCTATGCTGCCCTCCACGTACTGCACGTAATTAACAGTGTCTATAATAGCATCTCATAGACAATAATCTATAGAAGCCAATGAATTCGCAGTAGAGTATATCAACTATATCAACAAAAAGTGAGCCCGAAAGACAATTGCCGCCACAAAATCTCAAACAGCCGACCAGAACGCAAAGAACCAACCCAAATCAAAAAGCCCCCAAGTCGAGTCACTCTACCCATAAGCTCTGAAATCAACTAAGTGCCCTCCCACACCGCCGTATCTGCTTATATACAAGCTCCTTCTCAAGATAATCGTGAGTCGCGTCGACGATAGTCTCCATCTCTTCTATACTATCCAGGTCAATCTCCCCCAGCCCATTAGGAACATCGAACCGGAACAGCCGATTCTCGTCATCCAGCTCGGTATGTTCCTGAATGAACCGATTCGTATCGATTTCCGGGTCCACGATATCGACATCGGCCGCTTTGACCAAGCCAAACAGTCGTCGGCGAGACCGCTTGATCGACGGTTCCCCAGTTCCGATCGACACCATGCATTTTAAATGGTTCTCCAAGGCCCCCGCTGGCCACACGCCCCTCGCTTCGATCCACACTTCTCTCATCGGGTTGTTAGCTTCCAAACTGCTATCGTGAAACCGCCGCCCGCTGGGCCCGATCTTAACGGAGTCGAAAAGCGGCGAGTGAGCAAAAGAAGCCGCACCGGCTTCATAGACCTTTGCGGACTTGAAAAGCTCATTCGAGCAGTATTTGCTCGGGTAGCTTGTCAAGTGGACCAGTCTCCGATTAGTATCGTCGGTGGCGCAGACAAATCTACCCATGGAATTAGTGCCCCCCGCCAGAGCGACACCAGAAGCATCACAACCAACTACAATACAAAAAGAGAATACTTACACCTTGCACCCAGCCTCTTCCCTCAGCAGAGCATCCTTCTCGTAACTCAGTTCCCGCAGGATCTTCCGCAACGCCATCTCCACCTTCTTGACATCGTATTTGGCGCGACTGCGCAGATTGCTACCGATTGGCAGGAGTCTCTTCTGGGAGAACACGTTCTGCGATAGTAGCTTGTAGGCGTGGATGCACTGGTCGATATCCATTTCCAGACGCCCGAGCATGATCGCTATTAATCTGCGATGGATGGTGAGTATGTATTATTCAGGTCGTAACCCGGACCAGGGGAACGAACCCACCCGACCCGCTGCCTCCTATCAGATCGAAGTAGTCGCATGGCTTGGGGGGATTCTCGCGATCTATGGATTCCATGATCTCCTTCAAGACAATCAGTGAAGAGAGACCTCGCACGCCCCCGCCGTCTAGTTAGGAGGTTGATATTTCGGCCGGACATGGGAGGTAGAAATGCTTCTTTGTCACAGCTTGATCAAGAAATCAGATAAAAAAAAACACCGACAACCTATTCCAGCAAACAAATAAAGAAATTAGACGAAAAAGAGCGTCAACCCCTCTTTTATCACTCGTCGAAAGCTACGTCTTCCCTGCAAGCAGCCGTCGGGCAGACAGGGGACAGCCAGTCAGGACAAACGCTCACGGCAAATCGCATGAGCGAAAATGCAGCACTACGCAGGCAGAAATAGGGCACCAGTGACCAGCATCGCTTGGATTCTTGACACCGGTGCGTTGACCGCTAACAAAGAAACGTTCGGGGCCACAGTAGTATCTGCACCGGAAATCGCCCCGCACTTTGGGCATATCAGATTGGAAGATCCCCGGTGTGCCTGTCTCTGGCCACGCTTCTGATAGGCGAGGTGTGACACATCAGAGAAGGTTTCATGCGATTGGGTGTTGAGTGGAGCGCATGGCAGCCACGTAGTCGGCGCTTACCCGCGATATCGGATGGAACTGCCCGTGTTCATTGGCGCAATGCTGCAGCCGGGTTTTGTAGCGGCCGCAGCATAGCCACATCATCCGTGGGATGACGCATAACTGTCCACCTTTAGTGTCGTGTTGCTCTGCTCGGGAGAGTGTTGAGGTTGGTGTATGTGTTCATGGAGTGGCATTTCTCGCGGACTATGGCTTCCGATTTTGGGTCATTTACAAATGAACATGGGGAGGTCGCTATTTATGCTGACACTGAATGATGTGTTACAGATGATTTCTGGCTGATTTTGTTTGGATAGAGCTACGAGGGGTATTCCTTAACGAAAGAATAATAGAGCAAGAGTTACGATACGAAATTAAACAGATTTGCTACATACAGCCAACCGGCGGAATAGACTTGATGGTAAGCTCCAACACTATCCTACACGGTATGGATAATAACTCATGCCCAAGTCAGAGAAATGTCAATCAACCTCTAACCCAAAGTGTATCAAGGTAGAGTATAGCCGCCATCAATCACAAGATTCGCACCAGTCATATAGCTCGACGCATCAGAAGCACAGAATACATAGGCCTATCAACCGTATCAGCAAATCACCCCCATATACCGCGGGTATACACTTACACCCTTGAGCTCATAAGCCTCAGCCATCCGCTTAGCCGGAATCATATCGAACCACTTCTCCCGCCACTCCTTAGGATGGATATCCAGAATATCCGTGGCGATAAACCCAGGAGAGATACAGTTCACACGACAGAAATCCACCCATTCAACGGATAGACACTTCGCCATCTGAACAACGGCAGCCTTCGAGGCATTATACTACTATCGTTAGCCCAGCACGTGTGTCCACAGGAACCCACTTACGGCGGCTTGCTTCTGAGGCACGTTCACCAATGTCGCACTGACGGACGCTGTGAAAATAACATTTCCGTAACCCTGCTCCTTGAAGATCCGGGCCGCAGCCTGCGCCGTATAAAATGCACCGTCCAAGTTAACTTTGGTAATATTATGCCACTGCTCAGTAGTATAATCTTCGGCAGGAACATTGGAACAAATTCCTGAGTTTGCGACAATGATATCTAGTTTCCCAAAGTCAGCCGCGATTTGCTTGATTGCCTGTTCGATGTCTTCTTGGTTCGCCACGTCGGCTTGGTATGCGGCCGCTTTGACGTTGTGCTTGGCTGCTATCTCCGCTGCAAGTGACTCGGCCGTCTTGGATGAATTATAGATCAGAGCGACCTGCTCCGTAGCTTAGTACATGTTAATATTGACACACTGAGGGGTCGAGGGTTACATCGGCGCCTGCTTCTGCTAATGCTACTGAGACTTCTAAGCCAATACCACGGGCGCCACCTGAGGAGATGCAAGGTAAGTTCCTAAGCCGATGTTGGGTAGCTGTGCTGTCCCGAGAGCGAAACCTACCAGTCACGGCTGCGACTTTGCCTGAAAGGTCAAAGGCCTTGAGTACGTGTTTGTTTTCGGGCTGTGCGAGGACCATCTTGGTGTGATTATATAGAGTAGCCACGCTATACAGTATAAGATGAGGGTACTGGACGAGGTTGTTATCTATCAAATATCTTGACATGGCTTCGGGCAACCCCGCAGATACTAACTAGTCCAATCCCCGCATCGGAGATTCTCCGCAATGTCGAGCACCGGCGGAGGATCTCTTTATAATAGAACAACATGGTGAATAGAACTGAACTAAGCTCTGGAACTCTCTTCTAGGAATGACATTTCTATGATATATCAGTCGGACTAAGGTGAGGAAAACGTACATCCTACACAAAATCGAGAAGCAAGTACGGCATAGACACCTTCGCCATTTTGAAGACTCCCAAGTAGTGAGAACAAAAAGTGAAGGAATAAAGGCTCTGTTTTAGGATGTTTTATAGTTTCTTCAGCAATCTACAAGCAGATCCAACCCTCTTCTTGCATCGTTGGCTGCATATACTCCGTCTTCTTTGATAGGCTAAATCAAGGCTCATGGTCTAAATGCATGCCAAACTTCTACCTAGACTAATACTGCAAGTAATAGTAGCTTACTAGCAGCTACCGCAGAAGTTGATGCACACCCTCCTATAGGATCTTAGGGCAACGATGTAAACAGCCCGACCCCACAACCGCTGATCCACTCCCCAGCAGTTCCTCATAAGCCCAACCTACATTCAGCGAACAGAAACTAACACAACGCTCCCACGAAGACACCATCATCATACATAATCCCAAATACCAAAAACTAAACTCGTATCAATGCTGGCTCATACCTCCACCCATCCACCCGCACCTCATACCCACCCGTCACACCAAGGTCTCACATCGCCTGAACCCTACAATCAGCCGCCGGACCCTCACATCCGTCCCATCTGGATTCTTCCTAGTAAACTGGTAATATGTCTCTGGGTCCAGGATGAAATCAGCACCTGGGCCACGACATAGGCGCTCTGCAGGACGTGGCTCATGGTAGTGTGTGGCCCATGTATGAAGACCACTACTACCCAGGATGTCCCGAGCAGAGGCATCCCTACTAAACATGGTGTTTTGGGGTATGGACAGGTATAGGATGTCTGTGGCATTGTGGGAGTTTTATTAATTGATGTGGAGGTTGATTATTTGCTTGGGCGGAGTGTTTGTTGGTCACAGGATGTTGCTGATATCTTTGCTTGGTGTTCTGCGTGTATATCTGACTGCAGGAATTTATCTTTTGTATATGTTTTGAATTGGAGGATTGGAAATGCCGAAGGAATCATGTGAGATGACTTAAGTATTGGACCTTAGAGCAAGGATTTAGTACACTAATGTTTAATCATACTCTTAGTGCCACCATATGGGTCTCTTATCTTAGCGTGCAGAGGTTCCTTCATAGGCAATGAAATTATAATTACAAAGAGAATCATTCCCTACTAGTATAGGATGATCTGACCTTGAGCTCAGGTGTCATCCGAGAATCAGCAAAAGGATGACTTATATCCGGTGTCAACGGAAATAGCATGTACTAGAACGGTGTACTGTGCTCGGTATAGGCTACAGTATGCCTATCGATAGACATAACCTTTCACAGAAGGCCACCGCCCCCTGAGCTAACACCAGATTTCAATGTCATAGCCTGGCTGGTAGATTGACAAGTTTTAGATGATGGCAAAATTTACACAAGGGCCTATCTGCAAGATGATGGTTGCGAATATCTACAACTGATATTGGTATTGATAATTCATTTCAACTTTATTAAAATGGAAAGACACGTTCCATAGAGCAGACAGAAGTATATAGTAAATTATCTACTCGTCGGTAGGCCACCTGAGCGTAAGCTCTCAAATGACATCAACGTTTCTCCATTTACGACTCGAAAGCTATCTACATACACAGGTACATAGTACTAACCACCAACCACCAGGCAAGACGAAAACCAAAACCAATGCATAGCCACCGCAGAACAGGCTATCTTCTAATAGTTGTCAAAGTATTGGACACTGAACTTTCCGGTGTCATCCTGGGTAACGACAGCGTAAAACTTCCCAGCGCCTTGGCCTGAGGTAAAGTCAATCATGGCGGCTTCCCGGGTAACAGACTGGTAGTCGACAATGACACCCGCCTCGAAAGTGCTCTCCAGGATGTAAAACTTCATCTTTGGAGTGAGCTGGATCTTCATGTTATTGAATGGGTTGGTCTAGAATGTCATCATGTTAGTGGCCATTACGATGTTCACAAGCAGTCAGACATCGATGAAGACGAAACATACCGAGGCGACAGGAGCAACCACGCCGCGGTTATTAACCTTTCCAAGACCAATCAGATATCTCTCATTTGGGACTGGAAAGTCCGTCCCCGTGTCGATCTCGTACGCACTAGCGACCGCGCTAGGAGTGGATTGCGCTATCGTAGGAAAGTTGTGCTTGATCACCATGTTGAACGTGTCTACAACGCAAACAGCATGAGTAAATTACGAGAAGATTTCTCTGGATATCTCCACTGATATAAGGATACATACCTCCGGCCGTCGTCCCTTGGCCCAGGCGAGCCGGCAAGCTCATCCCAGTATTAACCATCACTCCTGGTGCAGGTTTGGCAGTGGCGGTTCCGACCCCTGGGAAGATATCTATTAGTTACGGCTATGATGATTTGCCAAGCCGACCCAACACTGATTTAGATTCAGATAACTTGTTCAGTCACCTACATGCATAGTAATCAACACCCGTTTTGATATCGAAGTACCCGTTGTTGGGAACAAACGTGGAATACCAGACATTCATGAAGGCATCCGGAGAGGTTCCCGAACTGCTGAGCACTGGAGGTTCCATGAAGACAGCATAGTTGCTGTCAGCGCCACGCGTGTTCTGGAAATTGATAGTGTACGTGGTAGTCATTTTCTAGGCAACAGACGTAGTCGAGTAGCAAGGAGGGTTTATCTTGTGCTTTGGAGATGGGGAGCTTGTGCAAGATGCAAATTGCTTGATGAGATGGGAAAGATGAGTTGAAAATGCATGGCAGATTAATCCCTTAATAGACCTCTTGTAGACCTGTGATGAGTCCATCGCTCGTCCAAAATGAGGGACCCGGTATCCGGCTTTTTCTGTCCAGCCAAGAAAGGGTGAGTCCAAGTAAATCTAATTCCTATATTTCCTGTTTTGTTTAAATCCATGTTTGCCTGCTTCACTTTCTCTTAACTTTTCCCCTTCCAGTCAATGGTGTCCCAGCCAAGTAAGGCATTGCATGGAACTATTGCTCTATGTCTTGGAAAGTGTTAGGGCGCGCTCCTCAGGCCCGAAGCAATCTGCTACGAGCGATTGGAATATTTTTGTACTTGTCCTCGCATTTTGAGACTTTTACGAGCGGCTGAGATTATGGCTTCCTTAGGGAATCGGAAAAGCCTGCTGGCTAGCTAGCTAGTAGGTTGTACATCCATGATCATCATGCATGTACCCTGCGTAGAATGCTGATAGTCGGGCGGAGAGTCCATTATAGCTCAGCAAGAATCTAGTCGTAAACCCGGTGATGGCCCCTCATCTCCAATAAAACTAACACTTAGCCGTCCTTAACTTTGCGTATACTCGGAAGTCAAGAACTGCAGAGAGTTAGAGCTGTATAGATGAGCAATCACTGGTGAACAGACCGGGGCTTTAGTTCTACATGGCTTACCACGCCACTAGTTCCAGATTGTGTAGGACTTAGGCCCATACGACAGTTCTTGTAAACAAGGCAGCGACGAATTGAATCCAAGTGAATCAATCTATGGCTTTGGCTCGCCTATAGCAACCATTCCAGGAAAGACTAAACGAGGTACTGTTTGAAACCAATGCGCTCCTTGTCACTTGAATATCCAACTCGTCAAATACACCCCCACAGTCGCAGTACTCCTCGCCTATCATATGTAACTGCTGTTCGGTAAACTATAGATTCTAATATGACGCATGAACCAACCCTTCTGCGTAGTATCCTAAGGATCTCATTCAATTCAGTAGTGCCGTGCAACAAGCTAGTCACTTAATCATCGAGTCTCTTTGCCTCACCAGATCTATAGTATGACTATTCCCAGAAAAAGTGGAGGGCATAATTTGTTCTCTTCTCCTCTGTGGCAATAGTGGCTATAGGACGCACACACGTGACCCAACTTGGCAGGCAACCACAACAAAACACAATGTCGTCGTCGCCTACCTTCCTCCTTGCATACCTAGTATGTTAGAAGCCAGTCATTGGCAATGTATGCGGTGATACACCTCAGGGACATTGATTACAATGGGGTCTCCACCAATAGCTAATCTGTAGCTTCTTCAAACCTGCCGCCGAAGAAAGATAAAGGTTTTCAAGGGAGTGGTGAGCCGACCTCGACAGCCACAAAATGGACGACACAATGATTGGTCGCTTCCTCTCTGATCTACCCTGGGACGATCCATCAAGCAAGCCCTATGAGAGACCCATGCTTCGCCGCTTTATTTATCATGACAAGCGCATCAGCTACAAGGAGTGCCTTGGGCATGGCGGCGAGGGTGTCGTCTACCGCGTACGTATTGAAGGAAAGCAATATGCTCTTAAGATCGTATGTACCCCTTGGTAGCTATGGCACGACATTGCTCTAAAGGCATAGTTCTAGTTCGAATCTTGCACTTACAAACCGAACTACTGTCGTTCGCTCGGTGTGCCTAGACGGCGCTGGCCATACCTCACATCCTTTTCTCACGAATGCCGCGCATTTGCACGACTAGACAGTATGGGTGAAAATGGCACATGGGCTGTCAGATGCCATGGCTGGATAAAGCTATCTGATGAGCAGTTTCAGCCCATTGACCACAGATGGGGCGCTGAGAAGTACTCTCGCTGGGCTATCGTTAAGGACTACATCCCGGAACGTGTATCCATGTCTGATATTCCGGAGATCCAACGTAAAATGACGATTGCAAGAAGGGCTAGACTATACCCGGTAGATTTGCAGCCAAGGAATTACCGAGCTCATTCTTCGTTGATCTGGGTCGCACGAAAACGTGGCCATATTTGAAAACTATTTGGTCGGATAAACGGCGCAGAGCGTTGTTTAACAACGTCGAATCCATTTTTAAGTGCTGGGTGCTTTGTAATCTCGATGGTAGAGCAGTGTCTACGGAAGAGGCTGCTCTCTATGAGACGAACCCGGAGCTATTTACGGTGGATATGGACTGCAGACTTGCGTGAAGCCGCCATTAGCCTATGGACGCAGGGACATTTTGTCGATTTCAACGTCGGTGCTTTCTTTTACTACTACAAACGCTCATCTATGCTGCTTTTCTCTTTCTCAAGTGTTAAGGTCCCAATTCCATGACTACTCATGAACGGAGAGTAAGCTATAGCAAGAGATTTCAATTCAATTAGACAGTCTGAAAATCCATGAACCCAAGACAGACAGCATGATCAATCACATCATTATGAATCTATCACAGCTTAGCTCTAGAAATTTATATGTCTCAATCCTGGAGGAGTCTGGAGCATGTCCGGAACCGAGCTTAATACGCTGCTGCCGGAAAAGGAGATATCAATCCCACCCTGGCATTCAGAAGCGACCGGAGAACTCCTTGGTGCCTCTGTGACTTTAGCTTTAGGCGGGAGGCTTTTGCTCCTCTTCCCAGTCGTTGAATGGCGATAGCTATCGCCTTCATCTACCCAAGTATCGAGACCAGGGTATCTTCCATCAGCAATGGAAATGTCGCAGTGTGGTGCAGCTGCCATCATATGTAGCCACCATAGAGCAAGTTTCACGGTTAGCCTTCCATACCCGTGCGCGCTCCAGGGAACCGAACATGTTTCCAAGACATACTCATTCCCTCTTCCATCATCCCTAAATGACGAGCTGGTGGTTTGGTGAACAGGTGGACTGCTTCGTAGCTCTTGAGACTGTTGGGTAAACTGGCAGTCCGGCCGATCTTCCCCATCACTTACGGACATAGCTGAAATATCACCGGAGTCGCATGACACGCTTGATTGAGTCTCCATTTCCATCTCAACTGACCGCTGGCTACCTCCACCACTGGAGATGCTATGCTGACGTGGTGACCGATTCAGGGCTATACCAGACCCAATGGGCAATCTCGACAATCTCAGAGCCACAAGTTCATCTTGGGTGATAATATAGCCATACCGAGTATCCCAAATGTCTGCACAATAGGTTGTCACTTGGTATAATGGCCAGTACCATGTTCTGTCCTTATTCGCACTTAGAGTCCATTTATTGGACAATTTTGTCTCACCGGGGCAGAGATTCAGGTGGCCTTGACCAGCATCCTGAGCTGCAGCCCAGTCTGGGAACTTCATAGCACCCGAAGTATCAGCGGTGAGCTTTCGCGATTTCCTTGCTCTTCCGCCTCGAGTCATGCTGATCGTTGATCTGTTTCTATCCTCATCAAGCCCGTTCAAGGCTCTCTCAATGCTTTCGTTCACTTGAGGCACAATTGATCTCGACAGAAGGTGCTCAAAAGAATCTTCATCGAATATTTCGCGCTCGAGCTGAGTAAGGTCAGGAGAGATGTCAGGCAGCGGCTCTGCCCAATGTCTATTTAGAACATCTCCATAGCAGCTCTCCAGAGTTTCAATATTGAAATCTGCCCAGTTCACTACCTCAGATATTAGCTTTTCCTCTGCTCGGGTCGGGAGGCCGCCGAGAGAATTCTCATTATCGAGACATGGGTTTTCACGGGTCAGATAGTCTCGCAACGAATAACTAGACATGATGAAATAGCAGTGCAAGAGAAAAGGAAGCGTTACAGGTTCAAATCTATGTCAGGCACATTCAAAAGTTCGACGAAGTAGTACAATGAAGTACATATCCTTCTTAGTGAGCTCCTCAGTGCAACCATTTGGTGCCCGATTATACACGCCCAAGTGGGATGGCATGTTCAGCCTTGCGTCTGAGCGCATTCTGTAAGGATGCACTGAACAGATGGCACGCCCTGTTTGGTTTGATATGTGCAGGCTGCGATGTTCTGTGAACCATACATGATTCTAGCCCTCTTCAGCTGCCATTAGTAGACTTCATATATTAATTTTAAATGAAGGCTTCGTTGTATGAACTGTATTGGTCTGCAAGGTACAGTGTGGACCAGCCTCGTCAATGTCGATGCTACACCCGACACTAACATGTCTGATTCGCCAAGATATGACTGGCGTATTGCCAGTAAGTCAAGTATCCTGGACGACAGCTCGAGCAACTCCTTCTAAATTCAGTCATTCTTCCATGTGTTCAACAAGACACTAGGGCATCGAGGCTGAGCGGAGAGCATTAAACCCCATAAATACTCAGGAATGTAAATATCGCAATCTCCAGATGCTAGTGGCTACTTGCTCTGTGAGATAGTTTGCTTGGTCCTCATCTTGATTGGACAGGGCCCAAATTCCAATTCGTAGGTGCGGCACAATCAGCAACCGAGGGACGCTTGCAGTGGGCCTATGTGACTTGATACATGGCTTCTTATTGCTGAGCTGCATATCACTGTGATAGATGTATAATTCATGAGTGGAGGTTAAGTTGATGCATATCTAAATCCTTCGCTGAACAAGGGCGCAGATTACATGAGCATGAATCAGGGATAAGGCACATACATGTAGGATTACCCTAATCCTGTCGGGTAGTCCTGATCACTTATATTTTGGTATTGGCCCCTTCTTTACTCTGGGAAGCCCACCTGCTCTTCGAAATAGTTGTTGAGTGTTGCCTTGGGATCTGAAGGAAGTAGCTAGTTTGATACAGCCTTACTCAATAGTCTTATTCTTCCAGAATCTGCCTGTATAAGATACCAATTTTCAACATCTCCCAGAATTTGTCTTGCCGGTACAGCGAGTAGGGCTTTCCAGTTCCATTCCTAAGTCTATAGGCCTTGTAGTAATATTGCCGCGGGTATTGTATATCTATATAGTTTCGTCAATGCGTAAGTTCCTGTGTAGTCTGTTATATTTCTACATCCCCGGCTAGTCCACTATTACCGCTGTAACAGTATCTGCTGAAATGCTCAATATCACTCGGCCAAAAGTACTAGCTGATACATGGCTAGTACCTTAGACTCAATGTCCTACCAACATCTGTCATACCGGAGAAGTGACGCACTACAACATATTCCGATGACATAAAACAGTGGAAGGTGCGCAGGTGTGTCGTATACATCCTAAGATACCAGGAATAGAATGACTTCAAAGCTCGAAATCAGTATTCCGTGGCAATCCACCAATTCAAGGCAATCAGCAGGCTCTGATTCTGGACCCAGGGTAGGAGAAGCCCGCGACACTTGTTCAATACTTTTTGCCCGACACCAATATGTACTTTCCATCTATGAACCACTCGGCAGTTCCCATACATGTTGAGGGCTTTGATAACCCTATCCGGCTGGTTTGAGTGACGTGACAAGGACTACTGTGACGAACCGTTCATAAAGAGCCTCACTCCAATATTTAGCGATTACCGGTATCCCATCCCATAGGACTTTGTATATCGCACTTTCGCCTGTTGTTCGAGGAGCAGTTCACGAATATCTTTGCTACACGATCATCGTCACCAAGTAGGATGTATTGATGGCTGACTTGTTTCGTACAAGTATCATGCGGTGCAGCAATCAGGTTTTGGAGTGGAGATGGAGGCACGGATGCCTGAATATGCGGCTGCGCTGGTACTTCCAACTATATTTGCAACTTAGTTAGTCTAGTTCTCGACACCCTTGTTGGCCAGTATTCCGACGGACCTGTGCTGAGAAGAAACCTTGGTATATGGTCTTCGAAGCTTGACGAATGGGGCTCTTATCTTTGGCCGTAGGTAAATTGGCTGGTAAACATTTGCCCGGAGTATCGTACTCTTTATTGGTTTGGTTGTCTAGCCTGGAATATGTCGAGTACTAATGGACTGGTCTTGGGGAAAATACGCGCCATACTACTCAATGAGTGTGAGTAAGAGCCCTTTAGCTCCCAGGATGAAAGTAGGGGTGAAGCCACCTTTTGCAGTACGAGGGGTAGATCCACTTGCCATGAACTCAGCGCCTATTTTGAAGCGACTGGCTAGCTCCGACGGCCAGGTATTAATGTATACACTCCCAATAGTCATCAGGAAAATAGTGGATGGGTCATCCACCCTAACCCAGCCCTCCAGATCACCCTCCGTAAGAGGCTCCTTGCCCCCGAGCTCCCGTTGCTCATTGAGCAGACGGAAAATGTTACGGCTTAAAACTCCACAAAATCGGAAGACACCGGTGCTTCTGGCTCAGCTTCTCGAGTTTTCGATACGCATCCTCTATACGCTTAACCAGAGCCTCCGTAGCCTCAACGGCCTTGAAACTCGGAGGCAGGGCCTGCAGACGAGCGACCTCGGCCCACGCGAGTCCTGGAAACGGCCGTTGCATAGACGCTCTCCGATCCAGTAATAGGCGAGTCGTCATTGCCAAGAATAACCTCATGGCTAGATATCAATTTCCCATAAGAGTCCACAAGGTCAACGACGAGGTGTGCCGATGGTTTCGGACTCATGGCCCTCTCTGCAAACTGTCTTGTACAGGTTTTAATCCACGACGTGGAGCCCCCGGTCAGCACGAATCCTTCTTATCCAGCTGTATTACAGCTGCCAAGATTGACATTGCAATAGTATATGCAGAAGTTATGTCTCGAACAGACCCAATAATAGTACGTGAACAATAACAGTACGTCGAACAGTCTAACGGGACCGGAGGGCCGCTTGTGTCTGGCTGGTTCATCGCCAAACTGGTCTGAGATATCCACTTCCGATTTACCAAGCTCTTCTAACAAGGCGGTTCGGATATCTCGTTCCAAATCCAATGTTGTGGCCGCATACTTGGTTATACGGGCCTCTATGGCGAGCCTATATCCGTTGGCCCACGAGCTTGTGAAACCCTATTAGGTCTTTAAGCATCATACATATCCTCGTCGCTGTCGCTGTTAATGCCAAAGTTATTAGCATCTGCAGAGCCGGACAGTGCAAGAACACGCGTTATATTCAACTGTACCATGAGCAGCTCTTTGTTGTGGAGTGGGTGGCTCTCCGGTTTTGGGATCTCGGGAGTGCATACATGGTCTGACCGAATGCATTTCCTGTTCTATAGACATTCAAATAGCATCTGCATTGTAGTAGATGAAGGGGTAAAGGTGACTAGTATTCCTAGTGAAATTGAAATTGAAATTGAAACTATCGCGAAAGAACGAGTGTCTTTCCTATACCAGTATACCCTCTTATCAAAAGGATACTGTTCGGGGGTATTGAAATACCCCTTTAGTAGAAAGCTTAAAAGAAAGATCCGATCGAATTGAAGCAGGCAATCTGGCTTTCTGACCATTCGACACCTGACTGCAGGACTATGTTTATTGCGGTCTGTACAAGTCGAGGACGGCAGATCTGGCTATTCGATTAGTCACAGATAAACACCAGTCCCAAGTTTGTGAAGAACCAGGACCAGTCCAGTCCAGAGATTGACAACGCGTCGAAAGGCAAGTAAATGATCTCCTTCGGTTGCACCGGAACGAGTAGCTATACACGCCCAGACCTGATGTGTTTCCGGCACATTTCCTGTCACAGGATCAAGATGAAGTTGGCTGGTCTCAAGAACGCTGAGATCTGTTAACCACAGGAATGCGCCCGTGAGTGAGTCAATATCTCCTACTCTAAATGGTGTCTGCTTGACAAACGCCAAGCGTTCGTCCTGATCCAGTTCAGGGATTGGGTTCATGGTGAATAGGTGAGGAGTAGTTCATTTGTTAATAGCTTGATAACGAAACTTTCGGCCTTTTCTGCTGGAGCTGGCTCTTCAAAGAGTTGGACGTGGAAATCACACTTCTTGGGGCGGTTAATACGATTGTTCTTCAGCTGACAGCGACATAATTCCCTTGACGTTGTCTTGTATGTCCGCCAGTTTAGGGCTTCGGTGGCCCCCTGACCAGCGAGTTGATCGAACAGCCATTGTTTAACATACTCATTGCAAAATATGACAAGAACTTCCTGGAATTATCTGACCCCGGCCAAACGAACCGGAGATTATTTTTTATCGTGCCATGACCGCCAATCGTCTTCCTCATTAAAACAGCTATCAACAACTCGAGACGGTGTGGGCAAGCTATGTAGAGAATGATTCCAGCTGTGCCACTGATAAAACTCAGTCAATCTTCTCAAAAGTAGGCAGCTTGCGGTGCTACCAATAGCACTGCCGTGCTATGTTACCAAGGATCTCGACGTCACTACCCCGATTGATCAATACGGCAAAGAGTTAGTATTACACATACTAAGACTTGCGCTGCAGGAGAGTTGCACCGGATTTCTCGCGGTGGAAGGAAATATCATCTTTGATAATGGGAAGCATAGCCTGGATCTAGGGATTTTCCGCGTAAAAGCTAATCTAATTGCTCGAGCTCAGAAATAGGGGTCTTTAGATCGTATGGATTTTGGCTCGCAGAATGATTCCCTATAGTGACTTCGTCTGATACCCCCTGGAGCTTAAACCGACTCCCCAGCTCGTTCACACGATCCTGGGTACATAACTTAAAAGCCTCATGTGTGGCCCACGAGGGCCGTTCAAGTATCTCCACAAAAGAAGCAATATCGGCGGGAGAGATCTCAAATGGAATGTCAGATATGAACCAGACATATAGTGTCCGTCTGTCGCGGAGGTTCTAACATTGAGGGAATAAGCCTCGTAGCCCGCGCATAATGCAGTTACCATTGGCGTATTGGGACTTTTCCTCGTGGCATTCGTCTCGGAACACGCGATTCCATATCACGGTGTCGGTGATGGTCTATGTGTAAGGCCGTCGTTGGTTTGGCGTTCCAATCGACTATGACAGATGGGCTCGCAAGGAATATTGCTCCTGAAGTAACTGTACAGCCTGCATACAGAAGATTCTTCTTTAAACCCTAACCCCAGCATGATAATGTCTTCGTGGGGAAATAGTGGCCCAGGTAGACTGTATGCACCAGTATTTATCGTTGTCGTAGCTGTGTGAAGGAGTATACCGATATCAACAACCACATGGAGAGAAGCTTAAATCCTACCCACCTCTCCCAAGCCCGGCAAATACATGTATCCTGCCACTAGCTAGAGCCTTTATCATTGTATCGATGATGATGATGATGATGATGATCTAGACAAACACCGCCGCAACCATGCAGACAACGAAGGCGCCAACCTGTGTCATCTTCAGTCATCTGAAGAGGAGCTGTCTTCCTCCGCAGGAGGTGGCGAAGGGCTTGTGCTCCATCCCCTGACGGGGTGCAACACCAGAGATGAAGGGAAGGGAAGGGCCTGCTATGTCTCTGTTCCCGAATGAGCAATAGCCTTCGTCCATCCTTGTAACGTCCTTGATCCGGTCCAAGATCACGCATATAGGCCATAATATGACTGTCTATATTGAGTTCAGCATGTTTTTCGGGGTCGAAAGAAATGACATATAGGTAGTTTTTTTGAGGTATCGAACCTGCCACAAAGTCGTTCCTCTCTCTGCTCAGACAATTCACAAAGATGTTCCATATCCCTACTCATTAGATCCTCGGAAACAGCAGACCAAAACCAGTGTTGGTGGTTTCATTAGCGAGCGGCCCGACTGTATCATCACCAGTCCTGTCATTCCACGTATTCTCAACGGGTTTAAACGAAAATTTGCCATTATCGTCGCCTCAATAGCTCATGAAATGCATAAATGATAGAGACAATGTGTCGACCATGGGATTCGAGGTGATGGTAATGCGCTTTTGTTCAATTTGACCGTCTTCAGATAAGCCGAAACCCCCACTTCTTCAGGGTGTTTGTAGAAAGCTAACAGCTGTCTTGAGAGTAGGAGATGTCTACCATCCCATCTGGTGGTTTCTCGAAAGTTCCTTAGCACAGCAATTTCAAGGCACCTACAGACCTTTAGCATTCATTCCCCTGTCGGTCTGCAAGCGGAGTGAAGCTGGAAAACTCACCGGGTTGGGACTGGGAGGGGGCAGCAGAGGAGGCAAAGGCGACGGAGACCGGGGGCGACAGCGGACTAAATTAAAACCACCCCACACAAGTTGCTATAGTTAATGAAAGGGGCTCATTTCCTGATACACATCACGCTGTTTTGTGATGGCATTGCAGAAGTGTAATCTTAGCAAACGGGTATAGGGGATATTATGCTGAGAGGAGTGTTGAGACGATTGTATCTTCCCATGTTGCGATGACGCTCTTATAGATGCATAAGGCTTTTGAACCAGCCATGACGGAGAACTATCAGCGGTTACATAGCCACATCGATTTCTTTGCTTGCTGTCCCCCGGTGAAGGCATAGTAGCCTCTGTACTTGCGGTGAACAAACGGACAATGTGGTGTCTCAACACTATCGAAAGCCGTACAGAGCCCTATGGAGGTCCCGTAGATATCACTCAGCATGTCTCCCTGGTATTTCTATTTGCTTCAAGGTCAGCAGGCCATTCGCACACACACTCTCTCTCGGCCAGTTTGACATAAGAAGGCAAGCCGTGGCTCATTGATATCTTTGAAGACGAAGCAAGTTGCAAGCCACCATTTGACCTATTAGCAAGCCTTTCCTAGCCAAAAGCATAGATATAAGTGCTGCATCGTTTCTGCTAGAGTATGAAAGTGAACACAAGAGTTCAAACCCCCGTTCGCGTCTCGTACAGGTAGATATCGAGGTCTATGAACTGCCCAAAGACATTGTATTTATACATGGATGGCTAGGGGAATAGCTAAGCTGAGTTCACTCCATCGCTTCCATTCATCATTCAACATAAGACATATCTCCCATTACCTATCCCGAGTTAATAAAACCATCCATTCCACAGAACCAGGGAAATTCCCTATATCACTTCAATTTCAACAAAATCCACACCCACAAACCATCCCATGAACAGGAATCCAATCATCACTCGGTGCACTACCAATATCAATTCCCAAAAGCGGCCCAAGCCTGCAAAGCCCCCATAAGCGCAACCACGATGCCATTACTCTTCACCCCACGTTTCAAATACCACCCGGAGCTAACCCCCACAATAGCCGTCATCAGCGCCGCGACAGCCCGGTTAATAGGGTCGTTCAGCAGAGCCGGGTTTTGCGACCAGCTGTAGTTGATCAAGGCTACGTATTTTTTCGTTGATCAGCAACCGTTATTTCATGTTATTCGCATTTGAGATGTGCGGGGAGCAATAGAGGTTACGAATGTTCGAATTCTCGATGCTAGAGAACGTACCATTCATCAGAAAGAACCCACTGCCCTGGTACCAGCCTGCTCGGGCACAGGTGTAGGCGAGATTAGGGAGGGTGCGGGCTTGGGGGAGGGATTGCCAGTCTTTGGCTGACAGCTTTTTTTAATATCTATCGTTAGTCTTTTTCTTTTTCTTTTTCTTTCTTTTTCTTTTGGGGGAATTATGTGGTGGGAATTGGTGGTTTGTAGGTGTGTATGTACCGTGTGGCCGAGAGAGATTAAGAGCCAGCCTACGGCTGTTGACTGGAGGGCTGTGGGCATCTTGGTTTAGATCTTGTTACGTGAATTGGAGTAAAGAGTGGTTGAAGTCGATACCTATCGGTCATGTTTGAGGGAACTTCAGGGGGGAATAGAATGGATACATGAATGGTGATTTATGCCAAGGCCGAGGCACTCGGTCCGTTGGTTGTCGATCTTTCAGTTGATGGTCGATTATGAGCCTGGGATGAACTACTATCTGGGGATGAAATGCTCATATGGATACAATCGAGGTAGAGAGAAGAGTCTTCGGAAGCAACTGAGCCCTAACAGGTCCGGATGTTTCTCGGTTTCAAGCGCCAATGAACCTCATAAAACAAACTCGGCGTAAGCGACATAGTTGAGGGTATACAAGTCAAGTCAATACAATATGCACCAGGCCCTCAGATCTCCATGTATGTACACCAGAATACAGCCTATGGTACGTGGGATATATGCATCCAATGAACACCAACCACACCAACTCCGCCATGCAAGGTCAATCGGACAGTACAAACAAACCCAGCCATATATATGCACCGGAGTCCCCGCAATTATTTCTCTACATACTGTTCGTTGCTGGTCGAGGCCCCCCGGCGACCCCATCCAAAGAAGCCGCCGCCGCCAGTAGCAGGCTCCGTAGACGCCTTATGGAGACTTCCCGCGGACGAAGGTGATCGAACGATAGAATTTCGGTCGCCGTTCTGCGACGGTGATCGCTGAGACGCAGCGATTAATTTTCTCATTCCTTCCATCTTCACTTTCATCTCTTCCAACTCCTGCTTGGCTACTGCCTCCGCCGTCTTCGCATTGACCAATTCAAGTAGCAGTGCTTCTTCGGCAGCCGGTTTGTTGTTTTCCGTGGACAGGACGTTCTGCAAACCGAGACTACTCGTCCTTCGGGTGAAAGTGCTCTTCTGCGAGTTGGTGCGGACCAGTCTCAGCTCCCGCAGTCCGCCTGGGATACCCTCTCCCGGTTCGCTGACGGGCGAGCCGTAATCTGTTGGTGTCTCGGCACTACTTCGGGGGTTTCGAGCCGTGCGCAATTCACGCACCATGCGTTCGAGCCGTTGCCGTTCCCGGTAGCCATCCTGAATACGACCCCGCGCTTCGCGCACCTGCTCTCGCAGAGAGGTATTCTCTTTCTCGTGTTCGTCAATCCGGCGCGTTAAATCATGGCACCGGCCAGATTCCACAGAGTGCATCTCCTTCCATCGGTTGAGGTCTTCCAGAAGCTGCTGCTTGGTTTGGCCGACCGATTCTCGTGCAGGGGCTTCGGTCGCTCCGAATCGCTCTTCCGCCTTGGTGATCAGATCGATCGGGGGATTGTCGAGCCCCTTGATGTAACTCAGCATCGATTTAGACAGCTCCTGGTCGGCTTCGCGCTCCTCGCGCTCTTGTTGCAGTTCCCGAGTGAGGTCCGCGTGCTGTCGCTGTAGGTCACTGAGTGCCATGAGCAAGTCTTCAATCTGCGTGTGGAGATCGCGATCCTTGTGCTGCGACATGACGGACTTGACACGCGGCTTCGGCGCATCAGTGGACAGCTCCGTCGGAGCAGTGCTAGCATCCGACGTGGATTCAATCGAATTGAGCGTCGAAGTCATACTTTGTTTGGAAGTGGTGCGGCGAATGCTGGCCGAGGAGCTAGCGTGATTGGGGTTGAGGGTAAACGGCTTGGCAGAAGTGTGAGAGCTAGACCCCGCCCAGAAACGGCCCAGAAAGCGGGACGCCGCTGCTTGCATCTGTGGGAAGGAAACGCCGGTCGGCACTCCTTGGGACTGGTTGTAACTGGCCTCCAATGTCTGGAGACTCTCCTTGGTGACCAGCGAAGTCAACGAGACAAAGTCGTTCACGAAATCGTCCGCATGGCAAGCATATCTATCTCGGTTAGGCTGTGGTTCTCCCGGCGGAAAAGAGCGGCGACTTACGTATCCCATAAGCTCCTCGATAACAACAGCTGCATAACGTCTTCAAACTCTGCGCATGCCATGATCTTTTTCTCATTGCGCTGCATGAGCGACAACGCCACCCGCATCAAAGTTTCGCAGGCGCCTTCGAGGAAGATGACATCGTAAATCCGGAGAAGCATTGGCATCGGACACGCGACCGCAAAGAACGATAGGAACCATTGCGATACATAGATAGGCTCGACGTGCAGTGACTCCAGGTGCGCATATAAGGCCGGACGAAGACGGGCGAGAAGATTTTGGAACTGGTACACACGAAGATGGAGTCCGGAGAGATCTGGAAGGTAGCATGTGCGCATGTCATAGTGATCCATGAGCCTAATTCGTCAGTCTATGGCTCAAGTTTTTGGGAGAGCAAATGCTGACTTACCGTACAAGGACGCAGAAGGCTTCGGCGTCTGTCATGTGCATCAGCAAGGGACCAACTACGAACCCCAGGCCCTGGCAGTAGCCAATTTTCGTATCGTACAGACTGAAGCACTTGAGTACTCGAGCGAGCATTTGCTGTCCCTCCCCGTTAGGATCGCGGAACATCTCCACATTAGGGAAGCTGCGGCCGATATCTTTCCCGATCAGTCCTTCGTAGGGACTCGTCTCGCCGCAAAGTCGCTGGTACTCCGCTAACAATGTCGTGTCTCGTGCTCCAGCCAAGCTAGGCCATACGACCCCCCGCAGAGGAGGCGGGATACCACTGCGGATTTTATTCGAGGTCAATGTCGGCAGTCGCTGCGCCGTTTGTGGGTAATCGGAGACCAGGGCCGCCCAGAACTCGAGCTCAGTCAACGGGGGCGGAGGAAGCTGAGAGTATCGCAGTGACCGGGGGTCATCATTGATCAATTGCTTAACCTGACGCAATGACTGCGACCGGGACTTCCTCACTCCGCGAAACTGCTGCGCTTGCAACCTCGACTTGGGATCAGTTGCCAGGGCATTGTTCTCCTGCTCCAACCGAGCTAAGAGAAGCGAGGTAGACTAAATCTGGTTAATTCCTTCCACCATGCTTTCTAGCGCCCATCAACATCGTATGATACGCACCTCATCGGATCCCTCCCCACGCGGTTCTTGCTCCTCAGATTTCTCCAATTCCCTCCAGTCCATACCCTCGACCTCACCGCGGAAGATTTCTTCGCTACTTCGTGAAACAACGGAGGCGCGGTATGTACGGGGTTGCAGAATCGGCTGTTCCGAGTCTCGTGTGGGTGTGGTATTCGTAGGGTCGTCCGTATTTACGGACTCTCCTGGCGGCGACGTCGCTTCGATCGGGGTCTGAGGAATGTCAAGCGTCCGCCAATCGGGCTGTGTATGCTCGGAACTAGATTGTACGTCGGATAAGGGGACGGTCACCATTGAGTCGGAATGTTGATGAATCGAAGGGATATTCTTCGGCACGCCGGGCGAATGGATTTGGGTGGTGGGCTCGGAGTTGTCCATGGTGTCCGAGTTGCCTTTTCTTAATTCTTTTGGTTTTTATATAGAATTATCGAGATCAATAGCTCATCCCTCAGGGGAGTTTCTGGCAAAGGACGCGCTGATGGAACGACGGGGTTTGAGGGGAACGAGGGAGGGGCTAACGGAGAGCGAGTAGACGATAAGAAGAGTGGCGACGATCAATCAAAGCAGTGGCCGTCAATAATGACAGCATTTCTGAGTGCGACCACAGTAAATGGGAAAGACGGTAATATCGTAGCGGGGTGTAGAGCGAGTGGAGGACAAGTTCAAGTACAAAATAGAATAAAAAAATCCCAAGAGAAAGAGAAGGGGGGAGAAAGTTGAGTGGTCGGACTCCTGAGGAAGAAATAGCAATGTAGAAAGTTGTTTAGCTTGAGTAATTAGTGTCGGTCGCTCCAATCGTCCTAAACCCACTAGTATTTCCATAGTCGTTAGTACACTAGTACACGGTCATGACAGCCGACCTCAGGGGAAATTCAAATTACTAGCACTTTCGTCCCCTCCGAGTCCCTAAGAGTCTCGTCCGCCGATCACTTTCAATAATTATCTCCGCTTCTCTCATCATGGGTTTCCTCTTCTTCTTTGTGACTCTCATTGTGCGGAACTGGAAGGATTGTAAGTTGGTGGACATGATACCATAATCGATCCACGGTCTCGATCAGGTACTCGGTACTTCCAGGCTACTTCCACCCTGAACCGAACCATGGAAGACGCTCCGCTGGGGCACTCCAACCCCGAAAATAGATCTTCGAATTCTCAACTGACCATGGATGGATCACTCAACCCTCACTCTCATACCAACGGTGTGTCAATCTATTGTATTGACGGGGGGTAATCTCCGAAATTCGAGACGAAAGAAACCCTATGGAAACAGCGTGGAATCAGTGGGTGTCCTGGGATTCTCTGGATCCGGTCGATCCAGACCGAGTCTCCACTGCACTATAATCGTCCATAACAATTTTGAACCCTGCAGGTGATGGGTGTGGTTATCCACTTCGATACGGTGAGGAGAAGACGACTTGGAGCTTGGACATGGAACCCCCCCGAGGAAGTCATGGCGGCGATGATCATATCATCTTTGACCATCGACTGTTGCTGGCCTGTTTGCACTTACTTTGACTCCCATGAGTCCTGTGTGGCATACCGTACTAATGTCTGTACTGTACCTGCATGCAGTCCCTGAGGGCAAATCCACCTCAAAGGCAATAGAAATTCCATGACTGGCCCGTCAATGGCGCTTTTCCCCTGAATGTAATGATACCGCCCAAGAACGAGTTTCATGCGTTTCGGGTATGATGGCGTTCTGATTGATTGGCTGGTGTGATCTCTGGCGCGACATCATTGGCCGCCATGTAATATCCTGTGTATCGGGTATTGTATGCCAAGGCCAGCCTTGCTCGCCGTTGGGCAACCTCTCTTAAGATTAATTAATTAATATTAATCTACTCAGACAATTTAACAGGAAAAGGATGATTATGAAGCATGTCGAAGTAATAATGATGGAAACTTCCATCATAGTTTTAGAAGATTCATTCTCTTCAGAGCTAACTCCAAATGGTTAGTGACTCGAGCATATACACAGTAGAGTGCTTGGCTATAGCTTCGGCCGTTAGTAGGTGCTACTAGTAGTAGTGCTAGTATTGTGTACAAATATATCTCTCTGGAAAAGGGGAAATCTCCGCTGAGCCCACTGGCCGCACTATTGAGTACGGAGTTGAACAGCCATTATCGTTCTGGATTTAGAATGTCCCATCTGTTCTAAGACAGGATCAGAAACCTTTTAGTTAAACACATAAAGGACCGTCACATCGACACTGAATTGTGTAACATGAGCAATACTTGTGTATGGATCGGATCATATCGATCAATCTGGTTGTCTAGGGAAACTGGGTGTGGAAGACTGTAATGAATCACGTAGCCCTATTTTCTTATCCAGAAGGAGAGAGAATCGTGCAATGACGAAGGATACGAATAGCCGCGTACGCCGTACACTCGCTATGTTCGGAAATCTCGTCTGGTTCGTGTCCAGGCTGACTTCCCCTCCCCCGCGCCCCCTGGATGTTTTGCTTACTGTTTCCCTTTCGGGCGCAAGTGTTTGGGAATTGCCTGTTGCGGCCAAAGCTCCGCCGCCACGGGGCGGAACAATGCTGAACCGATGGCGGAAGGACAGTTTCTGCCATCCACCCACCAGTCGCTATCGGCGCGTCAACAACAGAAAATCAACACAAGAGACGACAAAGGAGGAGTTTCTGACTGGGGGACTTTGTTGTGGTTTTGTTTGTTTATTCTCAACGCCACCCAGGTTCTGTTGCTTCTTGAGAGAGTTCATATGCCTTCTCTTCTATTTTTCTAGTTTTTTCTTGTCACTCGTTGCGCACGTTTCAATCTATATTTTCTTCCTCGCCGTTCAGTTTTCTCACTATGGACGACTCGATATTGGATGATTCCGTCTTTGGGGATGATGGAAGCTCTGACTTTGAGCCAGCTCCTGTATGTTGGACTGTCACGTTGCTCAATCCATCTGTAAATACTGATAGTCGCATAGAAGCCCAAGGCGAAGGCAGCCCCCAGGAAAGCAGCTGCGCCTAGGAAGATGACGCAAACAACCCTCACAAGCAAAGCGACCGGAAAGGCCGCTACTTCAAAGAAGCGCGCCAAGCCGGACAGCGACGACGACGACGACGATGACATGTCAGACGGCGATCAGCGCGATGATGACGACTCCGTCCTGTCACACACACCCCCGAAGAAGGCAAAGAAAGCCCCCGCAGCGAAGAAGGGCGGCTCCAAGCCTCTCGCAGATGTGGAAAATGAATCCTTCACGAACGATGCTGACGCCGGCCCCAAGGACTCGAATGTATCAGAGAAGTACCAGAAGGCAAGTAGCGCCCGGGTCAATTGCAAGTCGCGAGCTAACCAAAGGTGCAGCTTACACAACTTGAACATATCATTAAACGTCCGGATACATATATCGGGTCCATCGAACGTACTTCGCAGCACATGTGGGTGTACAGCTCGGAGTCGGAGGGGATGGAGTACCGTGAGGTCTCGTATGTCCCTGGTCTCTACAAGATTTTCGATGAAATCGTCGTGAACGCCGCCGATAACAAACAAAATGATTCCAACATGGATGAAATGCGCGTCACCATTAACCGGGAAACCGGTGAAATCAGCGTGTGGAACAACGGTCGCGGTATTCCAATTGAGATGCACGCGAAGGAGAAGATTTACGTGCCGGAGCTCATTTTCGGTCATTTGCTCACCTCTTCCAACTACGATGATACTCAGCAAAAGGTCACTGGTGGTCGTAACGGCTTCGGTGCCAAACTTTGTAACGTCTTTTCCACCGAGTTCAGCATCGAGACTCAGGACTCGCGGCAGAAGAAGAAATACAAGCAAACGTGGACCAGCAACATGACAAAGATGGGCAAGGCGAAGATTACCGACGCAAAGGGTGACGACTACACCAAGGTCACCTTTAAGCCAGATTACGCCAAGTTTGGAATGGATGGCATGGATAACGATTTCGAGGCCCTTGTGAAGCGTCGTGTTTACGATTTGGCGGGAACCGCGAAAGTGGCGGTCAAGTTGAACGGTAGCCGGGTGCCCGTCCGCAACTTCAAGAAGTACATGGAAATGTACACCAAGGCGATTCGCCGGGAACGTGGTGATGATGGTCCTGCCGCCAAGGATGAGATCATCACCTGCAGCCCCGATCCTCGCTGGGAGGTTGGCTTTGCTGTCTCGGACGGTTCCTTCCAGCAGGTGTCGTTCGTGAACTCCATTGCTACGACCTCCGGTGGTACCCACGTAAACTACATTGCCGACCAGATCTGTTCCAAATTGGCCGATCAAGTGAAGAAAAAGAATAAGAATGGTGCCACGTTGAAACCTGCTCAGATTCGGAATCACATCTTCATTTTCGTCAACGCGCTGGTTGTCAACCCGGCCTTCACCTCTCAAACCAAGGAGCAACTGACCACCAAATCATCTCAATTTGGCAGCAAATGTGTTCTCGAGGAGGACTTCTTCAAGAAGATCTTGAAGACCGACGTCATGTCGAATATTCTGCATTTCGCTCAGCAAAAGGCCGATCAGATGCTGAAGAAGACCGATGGTGGCCGACGTGCTCGTATGAACAATCCCAAGCTGACCGATGCAAACAAGGCCGGTACCAAGGATGGCCATCATTGCACACTGATTCTGACAGAAGGTGACTCGGCCAAGGGTCTGGCCATGGCCGGCCGTGCGGTGGTCGGCCCCGATCTCTTTGGTGTTTTCCCCCTTCGAGGAAAGCTGCTCAACGTCCGCGATGCCACGTTCGAACAGATCTCGAAAAACGCAGAAATTCAGAACATTAAGAACTTCCTTGGTTTGCAGCACAAGAAAGAATACACGGACACCCGTGGGCTGCGTTATGGACACTTGATGATCATGACCGATCAGGATCATGATGGTTCTCACATTAAGGGTTTGCTCATTAACTTTTTACAAGCCCAATTCCCGAGCTTATTGAAAATTCCCGAGTTTCTCATTGAGTTCATCACGCCTATTGTCAAAGTGTGGAAGGGTGACCCGAAAAATCCGACGAAACAACGCTCGTTCTTCACCATGCCTGAGTATGAAGCCTGGAAAGAGGAACACAGGCACGAACGCGGATGGGACCACAAGTACTACAAGGGTTTGGGTACCAGTACCACCGAAGATGCACAAGTCTACTTCCGTGACCTTGACCGCCATCTCAAGGAGTTCCACACCATGCAGGACAACGAGGTGGGACTGATTGAGCTGGCTTTCTCCAAGAAGAAGGCCGATGAGCGAAAGGAGTGGTTGCGTCAGTTCAAGCCAGGAACTTTCTTGGATCACTCCGTGTCCAAGATATCGTACACCGACTTCATCAACAAGGAGCTCATCCTATTCAGTATGGCGGACAATATCCGTTCGATTCCTTCGGTCGTGGATGGCCTCAAGCCCGGTCAACG